AAAAGACTGCCCAAGTCGAGGCTATGAAAAAAATACTCCGTAATCATATTTGGGTTTACAAGTCAAGAACCCTGCAAAATGAGACAGAAATAATTTTGCTCGCACTTCTTCTAACCATGCTTATAAACATCTAAAACTTTACATTAATTCAAGTGCCTTAATCTAAAGAGACTTTGTAAGGAACATAACGTAGGCTAAGTTCATGGGTTGAAAAGGAAATGATACATCAGGCTCAAAAATATGTATAAAGGGTGAGAGTAAGTGATCATTTTGGCACTTTCACCGCTCTTCTTCTTCTCTAGGGATTATCTTCTTGATAGATGTTCCATTGACCTCGAGAGTTCATCACTTGACTCCTTAAGACTTGTAGGACTATGACTACTCCTCTTGGGATATCATTGTAACTTTGGCAAATCATATCTCGACACATTTTCCTTTTTTGGGCATTGGCCTTACTTTTTCATGCCTCCTAGTTCTATTTTGATTTTGACTTTTCATAGATACTGTCTAAAATGCATACAATGACCAACCACACTGTGAGTTATTTTTACCGAATGGCTTGATACTTGGACTCTCAGGGGTCTTCGTCTTCTGTTGACACTCCGAACATGTTGCTTGGACGGTAATGCTTTTTACCTTGCTCCAATGTGGGGGATGATCTCTAACTGGGTTCATATGAAATGAAATTGCAGGCTCAATGGGGCTAAGTAATGGATAAAGTGTGTAGGATAGAGGAAGAACCGCTTTTCATCATCCTAAGGCACATGAGTTAATGTTCGAGTTCATTTGTAATAGCAATAACCTGAAGATTGATCCAAGTGAAAGCAATAAAATTTCTCCCTATTTTCCTCATATCGTGATGCTGACTTACCTCCAGTTTGCCCCGATGTGGGGTGTTTTTTTACAGGGGTAATTTAAAATAAAACTACAAGTGTATGGGCTCAAGAGGTTATGAAAATGATTACCAGTAGTGTTTAAGATAGAGGAACAAAATGCCTCTCATCACTTCGGCTGTTGTACCTTTTGCAAGATAACCATTTACCTTACGGACATGGAATTTTTCTGCTCAACTCACTGGAGATTAGTGTATGGGACGGTGTGCGGAATAGGGTTTACCTTTCATCATTCCGACACGTCTCATTTGACACATTCAAAATTTACTCCATATAATTCATTGGATTCTCTAAGTAAATTTCTCTTTTGAAATCGACAACTCAAACAGAATAATCATGCAACATGTGAGCAATTCAACTCGCAATTCACCAAAGCAATTTATTCATCATAGAAATGTCTGAAATTCATAACATGGGAACTAAACACTTGATAACTTTTGCTACAAAGCGTTAGATTCTATCAAGGATAATACTTCTTCACAACATCAAAATTAACAGCGTTGGAAAACTCATAGCCATCCATTTCTGCAAGAAAACGAATACGAAAGCCTTAGAATGGTTGTGATAGATGTCAGATGACACGAAATTGATGGAGACAGACATGGCACAAATAATATTCAGGAAGAGAAGACAATCCCTTATGTGAAAAAGTATATACCATAATATCCTAAGATAGTAAACTTTTTATTGTGATAGTAATGTTTTCAATATATATAATAATTTAGTGTCGGTAGCTTTTATTACAGAGATAATAAACTTTTGGAGGGAATGGAGTAACCGGCATGAGAGCATAAATGAACCCTAGATAGAGATATTGTTAGGATTTGCCGCGCAATCACAAAGAAATAGAGTAAAAGCGAGAAAGAGAATTTGAGACGCAAGATTTTATCCTGGTTCACCCTTAAATTAGGGCTACGTCCAACTGATACACACACACACACACACACACACACACACACACACACACACACACACACACACACACACACACAATAGTTTGATTTAAAATAGGAAACCTCTTTCTAGGAAACATACTCTAATTAGCAACAGGCTCGAGCGAGACTCCCGTGCTGTCCAATTGCTAGGGAGTATGAACAACACCCCAACAAAAATAACATATTTTATTGTGCTTGTTGCTTTGATTTGGGATAAGGGCTTTGGTGAACGATTTTGGGGCGGGATCTTTGGGCAAAGTATGCAATCATAATACAAATAATACCATAGTTTAGATTGATCAGAAAATAATATCGTAGTTTAGATTATGGTAACTGATGACACTATCGCACCTCCATTTCTGGTGGGAGTATTATGGTCATTCACTAAATGATAACATCTCTTTTTCAATGACTTATAAGGGTCGCATGCACGTCCGTGAATCGATGTGCGCATCTTACCTCTTTTTACATCTTCAGGAAAAATCATTATTTCAAATTATAATAAACACTTCTCAGCACTTGTTAACAAGACTTCTCCCATGTAAAATTCTTTTTATTAGACAAAGTGGACTAAGTGATCATGATCAGGTTGGATCAGTTCGAATATCACTAAAGCTTTTAGGTCAGAATTGTTAACACTAATTCCAACCCATCATCCCGTAAGTAAGTTTTTATATCTTTTTACGTGAATGAAGTATTTTGCATGCATTTACGGAGAAAGTCGGAATATCGGCCAAATTATTAAATGAAAAAAAGTACCTTTTGATATGTCCTATAAGGAGAATAAAAGGTTTTTACTTTTCCCTCTGACGGTGCAAGAAGCAGAATAAGCTTAATGTAATGTAGACTCCCAACTATCGGTGAATGGGTGAACGGCGGCAAAGGTCTTTGATTGATCCATGCGAGCGAACCGTGCTTAGACTCTCCGTCAAACCGCACAGATTTGTGAGAGGAGCCGACGGATGAGTAGGCTTCCCCTCTCGATTCTCGAAATGTAATCTAGAACACAATGAGACTCCCGACCTTGATAGTCTTGATGCTCCTTCCATCTACGAAAACAAATCCCGGTCCGAGTTCTAGTAGAATGTACCATCTTAGGCTATGTCTACTTCCAAACCAATAAAGAAGTTATTCTTGAAATGAATACGTATGGAAAAAGAGACATAGGAGGAGATGGGACTGGAAAATGCATTGATGAACTTGGAATTCAGAGAGGAAATAACCAACAAGGTTTGGCTGAATGATGGCTTTGATGGTATTGTCACCCCACTGTCACTTGATTGTCGATGTGATTAGGCTTTTAAAAATAAACTAATGACGAAATCCAGCTTGATCCACGTCAAATTAACATTCTTGATCTGATTCTTTCTATTCTTTTAAAAATTTTCCGGGGAGGTTTGATTAAGTTGATGGGAACCAAATTTCAACTTCTTTTGGGTGATTAATTACCAAATTGTTTGTAATGTCAACCTTCCAGACCCACGTCCTAATCCTTGTCGATTGCTGACTTCATACGGACTCATGCCCGGGGAAAATTGACAGACTCAATTGGCAAATTAGTAAAATGTTTAGGATTGAATTGGATTTTTTGACAAATTTTCCTTTAAGCCTGAGACCGTATCTAAATACAGTAATATGACACTCTTCAACTTTTCATTTGAGCTTGCCCATATGTACTTGCAATTGAGGAGCCAACCATCACATTCGGCCAATGAGAATTTGCCAAAAATTACAACATAAGAGGCCATTTAGTTGCAAAAGGGAATATATAATTCTTGCAATGAAATATCAAATCCAAATCAAATGCATATGAAACGTCCTTTAATATTTTACATTTTAATCCCGAGAAACAAATATTGGATTGTTGGATTCAACTTGGGGCTTGTAAGCATTGAAAATTTAAATACTGAATTTTCAATATTGATTATCTTAAGCACTGAAAACGAAAATATAACTGTCACGACGAAAATATAACACAACACTCTTGCGAAACCTCCCGGATCACAAGTGAACAGATATTGGAATCCTGATTCCTTTTCGTAAATTGAACAGATATTCTCTTCGATATCCGGTCTCCATCAGAAAGAGAACGTCAGGCCCAAATTGGATCGGACGGTTTTTTAGCTCGTGGACTATCGAGGGGCTGCCCACAGCCCTCGAGAATTCCGACTCGCCAGATGCGTGGCTCCGTCGGTAACCGTTTAGGGCTAGCCACCTCGGCCCATTCTTCGAGTTACGAGTCTAGAGAAATAGGAGGAGCATGAGCGAGATTTGCTCCTAGGTTTCTACACCGATAAGGGTCAAATCTCTTCTTTTACCTTAGGTCCAACCGAGCCCTTCCTTATGCGCAAGGTGAGCCCTGGTTAGATCTTTAAGGCCCAGTCCATTTGACCCAATTTGGTGGGTTATGCCCATCACTTCCCTGTCGGGCCATGACCTTTTTGCACATGTAGAGGCCCCATTAATAGAAAGCGTAATTAAACGTAATTACTGACAATTAATTACCTGCAATTACTGCTTAAGCATAAGCGTCAAATTTGATAAAATATTCAAAATATCACAAACAATCTGCAGACATGTCATTAAAAGGTCAGTGATTCTTTTAATTTGGGTTAATACCACGAAAAGTCTCAAATTGTTACACCTGTGATGAATTTACCAAAAACTAATTTTTCAACCATCAAAAACCCCAAACTGGTACATTCGTGACAAATTCATCCCAAACTAATTTTTTGACCACCGAAAATCCTAAACCGATACATCTGTGATAAATTTACACTCCGTTAGTTTCCGTTAAATTTTACCGTTAGATTGCTGAGTTGAATGACACGCGACAATTTACGGGTCTACCAATTTAGGGTTTTACCCCTCAATTTGGCACAGATTTATTGATTCTTGATTTTTTTTTGTATTAATCCAATTTAACGAAGGATAAATTTATAATTTGAGGTTTTTCGTGTTATTAATCTAAATTGGAAGCCCAATAATCTTTTCACTTATCATCCCAAGCGTACCCTTTTGACAAAAGCCAGAAAATCACTTTCTCTTCGGGCCTTAAATTGACCCAAAAAAAAAAGAAAATGTCAATCCCAAAAAGAAAAAAAAAGAAAAAAACTCGACTGAAGGGAAAACTCGACTGTACAAGTTTTCTCTTTGCTTTTCCCCCAAATCTCGCAACGTTCCAATATCTTTGGTTTCACACCAGCAGCCTTTCCGAATTTTGCTGCTTCCCCCATCAAAAATCTCTGTGCAGACCGAAGGACAGCCTCTCGCGCTTCGTTCCGGTTGGGTGCTGACCATGCCGAGATTTCACGGGCAGAGCAACCACACGCCTATGGACATCGTGAATCAGCTCCGGAAGCAGTACGTCGACTACTTGACCTCTCTTTTTCACGAGGTCAGCGGCTCCCTTCCTTTTCCTTCAATTTCTCCGCCACTTTCAGGGAAGAATCGTGCTTATCTGGTTGTGATTCGTGATGGGTCGGTGTTGTTGTGGGTGGTTGGCGATTTGTGATGGAAACGCTCTCTTTTTTTTTTGGGGAGGGGGGCTCTTGGCTGGGGAACGTTTGACTTTACCATCTCGAAAGATGATTCCTTTTTTTCAAAAGAAATTTATTGTTTTTGTGGCGTTTGGCGAGGTTTTGTTGATGGGTTTTTGTCTTTCTGGCGAAATTTCTAGGGAGTTTTGGACGACCAGTTCACGCAGCTGCAGAAGCTGCAGGATGAGAGCAACCCAGATTTCACAGTTGAAGTGGCGTCTCTCTTCTTTGTGGATTCCGACAAATTAATAAACAATATGGCCGCGGCTCTGTGAGTAGTAGAGCATTCGCTCATCGTGTTTTTTGTTCGCAATTTAGATTTTGAATGTGAGCAAAGAAAGATGTGAATTTTGTGTAATTGGGTTTTTGTCAATCTCTTGGGCAGAGAAAGATCACCTGTTGATTTTAAACAAGTAGATGCTGATGTTCACCAGCTTAAGGGCAGTAGTTCCAGGTATCTCCTTTTTCAATTACATTTCATCTTTCTTGTCCACACTGGTTGAGTGCTTTCTGTGAACTTAGGATTTCTGTGTTTTTCGACACGAACATACGGATTGTTTGGGGAATATACTGTTTAGTCACAAATTCAAGGAATGCACCCTGCATTGGAAAAATACTATATCGGGGTTTCATATGGTGATGCCTGTACTTTCAAATTGGTGACGTCAGTCCATGTCTTTTGGTGCATTGGTGAAAATAGTTCCCCCTCTAATTTCCATTAGGGTTTCCCTCGGAGTTGGGGGACGTGAAATCCTGGGAGGCTGCCATGTAGATAGTTCCTATGAAAATCCTATTAAATTTGGATGTGAGGATCATTTTCACCGACGTACAAAGTAGATGGAATTTCACTAATTTAGAAGTGCAAGAGATTATTGCGTAGAACACCAGAAGTGCAGTGGTTGTCCAGACAGTTTGCTTGTTAAAGAAGTCCACTTTTCGTTTTTGATGATGTACTTCATGGCTCGTCTTATTGTCTTTTCGTCAATAAGCAAAGTAAGTATTCTTTTGCTAAATTTTTACAGCATAGGTGCAACGAGGGTGAAAAATTTGTGCATTACCTTCAGAAGTTTCTGTGAGGCACAGAGTTATGAAGGGTGAGTCCTATCTCTTATTTTAACGGAACTTGTTCATTCTTTAAGGCCTTTTTACAGATGAACCATTTTGGAGTGTCTATCTTGAACGTGTTTAGGCTGCTTTGTGCTTCACACTTTTTCCTACTTATGATGGAAATTACTCGTAAATGTTAGCCTCTGGCGGTGGGTGAATCTGGGACAAACATATCCGGGGTGGAGAGTATGTGGTATAGTTGAACATGCATAGGGGTAGATATATGCAACTGTATGTTTCCATGAATATGTGACAGAGAAAAACATGACAAGGTTATATGTTCTACACATTTGACAACATTGATTATCCTGTCAAAAAATTGACTAATTTAGAATTTGACTTTTGACATTATTTGATTATACTATAAATAATTGCATCTTATGAGGATGAAAGATTGGACTGCAGTTGGTACGGATAACAATTTTCTATTAAGTGTTTCTATAAGAACCAATTCCTTTTGGACCGATTATATAAAGTGCTTATACATGCCTCTTAATAAACCTAAGCACTTTTACGGGCCTACCCAAGGAGAAACTTTCAAGCTCCCTGTTCACCCAAACTAATGGACTCATGCTAAGTTTTATGGATAATACTTGGCACATTATGGTTGGCTTGGGTGACGGAAAGATCACGCTCAAGGTGCTCTTAAGGATCTCTCATGAGGAGCACCTAAGAATCTCTCAGCTTAGTTAATAATTGAACCATTTCTTGGGGAAGATTAGTTTAGTTTTTGAGTTCTACCAAAGGAACACTGCTGTAGATAATAGGGTGATGTCAATTTGAGTTTCCAGCTCTACCAAACTGAGAGTGTTATATGAGTTTGTTATTCAATGCATGATGTTAAGTCTTGTCATGCTCCTTCTAGACTATCACTCCTACTCTCACACTTAGATATTCCTTTTAGACAAATGCCATTTTCCTTTACCAGTAGGCCTTAGGGAATTATCAACTGACATTTTGGATCGAACAATGTAAATTCAAATAGGACACAGTTTCTGTAGTACACAGACTCTCTATTTCCCTAGCTAAGGGTCAGTATCTGCATGCCCTTGTAAACATAGGCATGCTATCGATAATGAAGTAAGTTAACTATCTATTTTGATGTGGCATTTCGCTATCAAAGTGATCATATCTAGTCAGGAGAAGTATTGTCTCACCAAATTATCATTTAGAGCAGCATTGTACATCGGCATCTTTATTCCACGCATAAAAACTTCTCATGTCAGTAGGGACCTTCTCTGTGATCACATAGAATTGCTGGTGTACCTGTGAGTGTCATCTATTTGAAAGTGGTCGGAATTACTAGGCGAATGCCTTAGCTTTGTGCCTTTTCCTGTGATTTTCGCAGGTATAGTTCTTGTTTGGCAATATAGAAACTTCAGCTTTGCTTATTTTCTTTTTCTTTTAAAATTACTTGTTTCCTTTTGGTTTGCTCAATTTGCCACCACGGAAGTTGCTTTTTGCTCCTCCTGCAGAAAGCTAGTTTATACCGAATCAGTATACCTTACCAGTCATATCAAGAAGCCGGGTTTTCGTTCCTAAATGTTTATACTATCACTTAATAACTAGGTGACCAAATCCAAGAACATCTGTAGGGGCAATGATAGTAAGAGTTGGTGTTCGCATGGAATAATATAAGATATAGAGGCAATGATAGTAAGAGTTGGTGTTCACGTGGAATAATATAAGAGACATTTTCCCTCTCCTCTCTCTCACCAAGTAGTGCTGTGCCTCTTCATGTTGTCTGGAATGACATTATAGCCATTCTTGGTGGACATAACTCAACAATCCAAACTATATTGTGCCATTTTGTTGGCAAAAAGGACAGTAGGAATGCAAATCGGCCACCACTGACTTCTGCCTGTGTCATTATCAGTGTGACATGCTGTTAGATTTCTGTTTGACATTATTTGTTTGGCAGGTGCTTGATATGTCTTCAGCAGGTGAAAAATGAATGTGCTTTGTTGAAGGACAAGCTTCAAAATCTGTTCAGGGTATGTGCCAAAACCTCCTTTAAAGGAACATGACTATTCATGAATGTTCTGGGCTAAATGTTTCTGTGCAATCCGAATTCCGTATTGTCTTTATTCATGCTTTGGTCGGAATCCTTGTCTATTGTAACTGTGCTTTGAAGAGAGGTTAAAAGATTACTCTTTTGCTGTTTTATTGCATTTAAAGTGGAATTCAAAAGTATTTAGCAGCCGCCTCGACAGTATTTAGTCTAATATTATATTTTAGCCTTCTATTTATTAAAAAAAAAATTCCTCAGACCTTTTCTCTGATTCTTCATTTTCTCACTGTAGATGGAGCAACAGATTGTGGGAGCTGGTGGTTCGGTTCCCCTGATGGATTAACGCTATTACCGGGTTTCGTCTTGAAGGAAAAAAAACGGGGGGAAACGGAGATTGGAGAGTACAATTGTGGCTGATGATGGGTAGTTCTCTTTGTAGCTCATAAGTGGGCTCATTTTATGGTATGAACTATTTTTTTGGGTGTGCTTATTGATGTTGCTGGAGGCTTAGGTATTGGAGTTATTGTTAATAAGTATCTATAACATTTCCGCTGGTGTCATGTTGTTTCTACTTCGCTTCTTACGTCTTTTCTTTGATGTGAAAAGCGCACATTATGCTTATGCATGACAGATTGTCTACCGATTGTTACTGCACACCGGAGTGCACATTTTGTTATATATGACGGAAAGTTACTGATTGTTACTGGACATATGAAGTTTCTTCATGTTCAAACTCTTATCGAGCTAAAGTTTTCTGATTTGCTTATGTCGCATTGCTAAGCTTCTAAGCACACAGTTATCTATAAATGGCGACATTCTCTCCGTCCCTCCCCCCATTTGATGATCTGAAGCGAATGACTTGCGCTCTCTGTCATGCACACAAGTCTGTGATATTAGCTTCCTGAGTACCTTTGACTTGGGAGCCGATTCAGGAGTCATTACTTTGTGTGGGTTTCTTACACATCATCATCTAGTAATGCTGTTAGCTTTTTCAATCGAATCTTGTGGTCCAAGAAACGATCGGACCAAGAGAATGGATGTGATTGTTCAGTTTTTTATCATATCAAGATTGACCAGCAGCTTTTTCCCATGCATAGCTAGTTGTGAGAGAAGCTGTAGCCTCGAATTCCCTCTTGTCCAAAGCTTTGCACTTTTTCTTCTCTTCTTTTCATGTGTCTACCACAACTGGTGAAAATGGTGAGCCAGTGTAGACTTTTCCTTCTTTTTTAGCTTAATGTAAATATTGCAGCCAATGCACTTAAGACTCTTTTTTTAAAAAAACTCGAATTTCCTGGATTTTTTGCAAGAGTTGAATGTGGGTATGTTAATGCGCATATAATTTCGTTCATAATTTTTTGGAAATTAGAATACTATTACGAATTTTGACGGGAGAATAACTAAAACATTGTTTTGGCTTATTTTGCAGTGTAAACAAATTGAGGCAAGTACATGTGAATATGTCCAAACTCAAGGTAATTTTTAAACTGCTCCCCACTAATTAAGGGGACAAAGCAAAAGCTTGCCAACAAAAAAGATGAAAGTGGGTATTAGGGACGGTCTTAAAACAAATTGGACAATTTGCATTATGTAGAAGAAGACAATCAAGAATGTAGCAGCAGGCTGTGATTAAGTTGCTGAACCCAAGTCACATCCTTCGTAACAGAAAGATTCAATCACGATGCTCATTCTATCTAGATCAGTGAAGGTCCTGCCTTGGCAAATTAGATTGACTGTCGTATCTATTGTGAGTTAATGTCAGAGTCGAGGGAAAGATCGTGTCCAAACTTGTCGCGTGGCACTTAAATTCGCGCGTTTTGGTTGCCACACAACAGAAATTTGTCAGGCGACCCACCTTCAACCAATGAGATTTAGTGTGTTGATTTGTCATCGATAGACAAAATTCCTTGTTGATGTTTGACTTGAAAGAACGAATAAAACAAAAGGATGATCTTTGAATATAGAAAATTAATGTTAAAGAACATTAATAATTCAAAAAACTAATAAGATTTCTCGTTTATAAATAAATTAGCTACAATCTCAATTATAACTAATTTCATTATTTACATAATTCACTTAAGTTTATAAATTATAGTTAAATAAATTATAAAGACATCAAAAACATATATTTTGTTAAATTGAAAAAAAAAAAAAGAAGAAGCAAATCTTATTACGAAAAAAATAAAATTTGTGATGCACGAGATTTAGATGTGTTTTGAAAATCAAACTAGATCCACCGCTATCAAAGATTTGTGGGATCATTGGGTGCGGTTTAATCTTTAAATTTCCTAACGTGAAACTGCTGCGGGAAAATCGTACCAAACAGACCTTCAATCGTGTAGCATCAATCGTGTAGCATTAACCTGATCTTTAGCATAAATTTAGTAACGTACAATTGGTTTGCTTCTTGAATTGGATGTGGTATGATACCATTAATTCCTTCAACTCAAGACCCTTTCTCTCTCTCACGGGGTGGCAATTTTTCATATGAAGCAAGAACACGAGGCCAAGTTACCGAGAGAAACTCGAACCCCGACAAAGCTTAACTCGATACGCGCTCGACGGGCACGTTCACATCCGTTTCCGGTAAAAACACTCAGGCGATCTGATCCGTATAGTTTGCTGATGGCACGACGGACGCGAATACGATCGCACGGCGCGATTCGGCGACCCGGGTTCTCTCCTCCCGGCCCCCCACCAACGGACGATCCGAGCATACCTCCCACACAACCTCATTCGTTTTGACGACATTGATCCTCGTAGTCGCGACTGCAACACATCCATCCATGTTTTTAAGGTCTGTAATGCAGCGCACGCTCGGTGAAAACGCTTCCCCGCTGAGCCAAATCTCGGACACGAGCAAGCATGAATGGCATCGTTTCATGTGAACTCGGATCGCATCCCCTCTTTAAGATAAGATGAATCTCACGCGAGTCTCGAACCGGGCGGTGCAACTGAGATCCTTGCCTCGTGCACGTAAGTCGTCGCTGGAAAAAAGCGTTGGATGGTACCTTCGTCCGCCACATAAAAGCTCTCGCCCCACTCACTTTCCCACGAGAAACCCTTTCGTCGTCAACCTCTGGCCAACTTCACGGAAAAGCATTCCCCCCCTCCTCTCTACAAATTCAATGCCCTTCCCCTTCCACCGAGATCTCAACTCACCGCTGCGTTGCTCGCTCATCAAACATGGCGAGCCCCACGACCACGCCCTCGTCCTCCCTCATCTTCCTCGTCCTCCTCGCACACGCCGCGCCCCTCGCCGTCGCCATGCTCGACCCCGTCGACTTCCTATCCCTCCAGGCCATCCGCAAGTCCCTCCACGACACCCCCGGCTCCAACTTCTTCGCCTCCTGGGACTTCACCTCCGATCCCTGCGGCTTCCCTGGCGTCCTCTGCGACTCCTCCTCCTCGAGCCGTGTCGTCTCCCTCTCCCTTGGCGACCCCCGCGCCTCCGCCCCCGGCCTCACCGGCCGCCTCGACCCGGCCCTCGGCAACCTCTCCTCTCTCGCTGAGCTCGCCGTCGTCCCCGGCCGCATCTTCGGGCGGATCCCTCAGTCCCTCTACCGGCTCAGGAACCTCCGCTTCCTTGCCGTCGGCCACAACTTCCTCTCCGGTGAGATCCCTGCTGACCTCGGGCTGCTCCGGAACCTCCGCACGCTCGACCTGAGCTACAACCGGCTCACCGGCCTGGTCCCAAGGGCGGTCGGGTCGTTGCCGTCGCTGTCCAACCTCGTCCTCTGCCACAACCAGCTCTCCGGCCCGGTCCCTCCCTTCCTGTCCCGGACCTTGACCCGGATCGACCTGACGCACAACGAGCTCTCTGGTCCCGTCCCGCCAACCTACCTCCCTCTCTCCCTGCAATACCTCTCGCTCTCCTGGAACCGCCTCAGTGGCCCCGTGGACCGCCTCCTGTACCGGCTCGGCCGGCTCAACTACCTGGACCTCAGCATGAATCAGTTCACCGGCCCAATCCCCGGACAGGTCTTCGGCTACCCGATCAAAACCCTGCAGCTCCAGAGGAACGCGTTCTCCGGGCTGGTTCGACCGGCCAGGTGGGTCGTGATCCCGACCGTAGACCTCAGCTACAACAGACTATCGGGGGAGATACCGCCGGAGTTCTCGACCGTGCGGAGCCTCTACCTGAACAGCAACCGGTTCACGGGTCAGGTGCCGGGGAGCTTCGTGGACCGGTTGCTCGGGTCGAGCATACGGGTCCTGTATCTGCAGCACAACTTCCTGACGGGGATCGAGATCAATCCGGCGGCAGAGATTCCGGCGACCAGCTCGCTGTGTCTGCAGTATAACTGCATGGTCCCTCCCGTGCAGAGTCCCTGCCCGTCGACGGCCGGGACGCAGAAGTCTCGGCCGACGTGGCAGTGCCGCGAGTGGCGGAGGAGGAGGGGGTAAATATGGAAAAATGGGAAGAAAAAAGAAGACAGAAATTACACGAATAAACCGAATAATAACCATGATCATTAATTTTACCGTGATAGTATTAGTTGATCCATTTTAATTAAATATATAATGTTGATGTCCATATTATTATTCTTTTGTGACGCTAAGAAGCTTCTATGTACACCGCGAATTTGGAGCAAGAATTTTACCGTGATAGTATTAGTCTCTTGAAACATGTACTTGACTTCGATCCAAATTTTCCACCGCAAAATTTAAGCAAGCTCTACTATCGTCGTATACCATTATACCGGAGATGCAAATCAATTCGCAGACCGGACTGCCAAAGCCTAAAGACGAAATGTCCTTACGTTGAATTGGGTTTCCCGTCCCCCTCGAACCCTTTGGTCTCTTTTATGTTATGATGCTTCTATGGTGTATGCACAATCTTAAAGACACGTATGTCTCATGTAACCTGAAACTTGCGGTAGTATTTATACGACGTCATGTCATCCTTAAGACGTATCCTTTTGACATTACCATCGTACCCAACATAGACAACCATTCTCGAGTTCTCACAAGATTTTATTACGCGCACGAGCTCTGGGAATTCACCCAAAAAGGATAGAGAGAGAAAACAATGAGAAAAATAACTAGGGACAATTCCCAAGGATGAAATTTTATTTACTCAATTGTGTTCTACAATCAAGAATTCAACTATTTTTAGTTAGAATCCCTTGTTTATATCTTCTAGGTAACAATTAGATAACTTACCTTTATGCAAACTTTAAAAAAAAACACAATACAATGCAAATACCTATTGAGATGAAATTACTTAATCTAATGCAACACACAACTAGTGCATCAAGAAAATATCTTAATCTACCAAATTAAAGAATTAAAATAACATGATTCTACTAATTTTATGTTTCTAGAATATTAAACCAATTGGAGAGTAAATCTTCCTTAGATTTTGACGCTATCCCGATCGTCTCCCGCATTATATTGGTTAACTCTTATGTGTTATTAGTTACTGTGATGCTATTTCCGAGTTTTCCTATAGGTGACTCGATTTTCAATAGTTCTGGTAAATATGAGTATTTCCTCCTAAGTAAGAAGTAAAACTGCTTCTTCTGAGATCTCATGCGAATTTCGGCATCCCTTGGATGTTAAATAATAGAGGATAATATCCATGGAAATAGGGGCAAGCAAGGGCTCTTGCCCCCTCAAAATTGCTATTGGTAAGGTTTTATGGCTTGTTAATAAATGTTAAAGACGAAGCCTAAAAGCCCTGCTCCCCAAAAATTAAAGGGAAAATAATCTAAATGGTTCATGAACTTTAGTTCAATATGCAATATCGTCCATGAATTTTTAATTTGTTCAATATGATCCATGAACTATTGCTAAATATTTAATGTAGTCCTTCCGTTCGCTTAAACAGCGACTCAGGCATTACATGACGATTGCGGATTATTATATGCTAAACTGGATTTTAAAAAAATGACTAGTTAACATTTCCATCTTTTTATTTATCTTCTTTAGAAAAGGAAAACAATGTCCATCATTATTTGATAGTGTGAATGATTATATGCTTATTTAATATGAATATCTTACTTAAATTACCAGTGCATAAATTTTATTTTTGCTATCCATTGTTCAAACTTAACGGATTGTAAGCCACACCAATAGATTTCGTTAACTAACATGTTTATATAATCTAGGGACTAGATTGAATATTTACTAACAATTTAGGAACCACATTGAATCAATTAAAAGTCCATGGATGATATTACACATTAGATCAAAGCTTAGGAACCATTTGTATCCTTTTCTCAAAACTAAAAGGACATGAGTATCCTTTGTAGGCAGCATTGCTCATCCAAATTATTTTGTAAGGTAAGAGAAAGTGAATTTGAGGTATGAACCAGAGCATTTTTAACTTGATAGTTCGATTCGCATTTAAGCTCCATTTGTTTCACGGAAAATGAATGATTCGAACGATATTTTCCTAAAAATGATCGCTTGTATTGCTTAAAATAATTAGTCAATAACAAATATTTTCACTACCGACAATAATTTATGTCTAAATATTTTTGTAGACATTAAATATTTTCTTCATACATTCGTTTTCGTAAGCAATAAAAGCAATCATTTCTAGAAAATTTTGTGTCGCTGAGAATGACCCATCAAACGAATATCTATTCCGGGAACAAAAATTTTGTGTTATTATCAAACACTATTTTCTGCTCATAAACTCATCTATGGAATTAGAATGGACCGGGAAAGAGAACGGTTTTCATTCGCGCCCGAAACAACTGGACAAAGGAAGGGATTAGGCCCAAGCCCTAACAAACGAACTCTGGATTTAGGTGACCGGCCCACCATGACAGAAACCTCGAACCTCACGACCACCAACCGACGACCCGCGAGCTGCCGCTGCTGCTGCTGCTTCTTCTTCTTCTTCATCTTCATCTTCTTCCGTCCGTCGTCGGCGTCGCCATCGTCGTCCGGTGCAGAGCCGACCGCTCCCGCCATCCCTAGCCGGCGAGCGATTGGACCCCGCTTTACTCCGATTCGAATCCAGTCTCTCCCGCGAAAACCCTAGCCAAAGATGCCGCCTTTTCCGGTCGACCCTCGTCCCTCGCAATGAAGAGAGCCTGGAGGTTCTCCGTCCCGGCCCACGCCGAGCTGTCATGCCTCCGGCGATCCCCTCGCGACCCCGCGGCCCCGAGGCCCCACCTCTTCGCCCGCGCCCGCGGGTTCCCCCGCGAAATCTGCGGCGCGACCGCCCCGAGCTCGGCCGGGATGAGGGAGATTATGGGGCTCTTCATCGACAAGTTCTCGCGGGCGGAGAACGGGGCGGTGCTCGGCGAAGGCGTCCGCGCGAGGGTCTTGGAGCTGAGGGACGAGCTGGTGCAGCTCGGCGGGCGGGACGAGATCGTTAGGGCTTTGGACGAGAAAGCCGACCCTTTGCTTCTCTCCGTCGATGGGTTGGCCTTCGTTGAGCTCTTGAAGCAGCTCGACGCTTGGCCTCATCAAGCTCTAGAGGTGCTGATACGTTCCACTCGCTCGCTTTCATTTCCACTTACGCCCCATTATCTGTGTATTGCTGTAGTGGTATCGTTAAGATGTGGGATCAATGGAAGAGCCATAGAAGCATTTGTAGCTTTACTAATCGCGAAGTGAACTTCTGCATAATGCGTTCTCCTTTTCTGTTTTTTTCTCGATGAAAAATAGGTCTTTTTTTGGAAGAGGAAGCTTCAGGAGCGCGGTATTCCGATGACATCGGAGGAGTATGTCAAAGGCATTACGGTTGCTGGTAGGATTAAGGATGTTGATCTAGCTTTGGAACTGTTTGTGGAAGCTACGACCAAGAGATTGAAGGCAACCTCTACCTATAATGCGTTGATGGGTGCTTATATGTACAATGGCTTGGCGGGAAAGTGCCAGAAGCTTTTCCAGAAGTTGAAAGGAGATGCAGACTGTAGCCCTTCAATAGTTACATATAATATTCTCATCTCTGTTTTCGGGCGCTTAATGCTGGTAGATCACATGGAGGCGGCTTTTCGGGAGGTAGAGTGTTTAAATCTTGCCCCCAATGTTGTCACATATAACAATCTAATTGCTGGGTATTTGACTGCTTGGATGTGGGACAATATGGAAAGAACTTTTCAGACTATGAAGGCAAGCCCTGTTAAGCCTAATACGAGTACATACTTGCTGATGCTTCGCGGTTATGCACACTCGGGTAATTTGGAAAAGATGGAAGAGACATATGAGTTGGTAAAAGACCATGTCAATGAGAACGATGTCGCTTTGATAAGAGCCATGATATGTGCATATTGTAGGAGCTCTATCATGGACAGAGTTAGGAAAATTGAGATGCTACTAGGGCTTATTCCAGAAAATGGGTATAGACCTTGGTTAAATGTGTTGCTGATCAAGGTTTATGCACAGGAGGATTGGTTAGACAAGATGGAAAACTCAATCAATGAGGCCTTTGAGCAGAAAACCTCTGTAAATGCAGCAGGTGTGATGCGGGCTATAGTGGGCAGTTATTTCCGATGTAATGCGTTAGATAAGCTTGTGAGCTTCGTGAAGCGCGCAGAATGTGCTGGGTGGAGAATCTGCCGATCTCTTTATCACTGTAAAATGCTAATGTATGGATCACAGCAGCGTTTGGCGGAAATGGAGAGTGTACTCGAGGAGATGGAAAGTTTTAATTTCGACCGAACAAAGAAAACATTCGTCATCATGTACCATGCCTACATATCCAGTGGTAAAAAAAATAAGGCAGAGCAAATAAAGGGACTGATGTGCAAGCATGGTTATGGGGTACCTCATAATGCTGTCTCTTCATAGTAAAACCCCTCTTTCCATCTTCTTGTGCTGGGAGGTTACATGTGAATGTTGAAGTGATTATTATCAATAATTGCTTGCACGAGGCCATTCGACTGATCATTCTGAATGAGGTATGCTTCTCATTTCCGCAGGTGCTTCATAGACTGAGTTTCAACTAAGCAATGCAGCCATTGATTCAGTTGACATATATATTTAGAGACTCTGTCTGATTAAAAAGCAGGCTTCTCAAGTTTTGGTGTATCCTAACTTTATCATAGAATTTTCGTTGTAAATATGTAATTTTGTACCAAAGTGGAAGGAAGTGCAACGCATAAATAAAAACCAATTTACAGGAAAATATATTGAAAAGATGAAGAATGGACTGTGCACAGAAGGAGCTGTCACCGATAAAATGGATATCTGCTTGTCTTTTATAATACGACCTCCCTTCATGTTCAAAAGCCCTTCTACTTCTCTTCCTTCAAATCACCCAATGAAATGGAAGATAGAATTGGAGGCAACAAATCTTTTCTGCTTGCGAGCCGAACGATTCACCTTATTCGAGATCAAACCCCACTACCCAATTGGAGCTACAGGCCCTTTTGGTTTGCAGAAATTTTAGATTTTGTGTGTTCTAATGTCATGGGATAAAAGCAATCTAGAAAACGCGTATAGGAACCTTTTGACAACAATTACATTGACAAAAATGATGAAATTTATTTTCAAAAGGATTAAGTTATTAATTGAAAAGGTCTTTATTATTTCATTGTTTTTATTTCAGATGAAAACTTGGGAGTTTGGAAAACCAAGAGAAAAGCCTCTCTTGCAATTCTGGTGGAATATAATTATGCATTTTACAATGTTTATTCCTTAAAAAAAAGTCTTTGCACTCCTAAACATGCTTTAAAGACAACTGAAAATTATCGTCGTTATCATTCTCCATAATAAGAACAATGATAACTTATCTGGAACAAAATGGCCCATATAGTGCTAGAGTTGCGCTAGAGTTTCCCAGACTCTGAAAGTGTGAAAAAAGGATTGTTTGAAGTCTCAATGTCCCTTTCGCTATGAAACACTTGCTATCTGCACTGAATACCTTCTTTGAATATAGAAAATAGTCAGAACCTTCTACAGAATGCATTGCGAAAATCAATGACCTAGCACTTTCTGGCAGATTTTCAAAGGAAGTGACAGCACTGGTACTCAGTGCTAATTTGATGCAATTGCATCTGTAAGCTGATTTCAAACAAAATAGTGCTATGAAGCCACCCACTGAACCTGATATGCTTACTATAGTACCATGTGTCGAGGTGCATGCATGCATTGTATCCACTGAATCTGATCTGCTTATTTCACTAGATTTTTGTTTCCTTCTACTGCTGTAAGTTTAAGAGATCAGCAGGATTGAACCAATCTTGCTGAATTTATTCCGTATGGTTCTTATCATTGTTCATTATAGTGGGTGGACTTCTCTTCTAGCTCATTGGAAAAGGAGAATTCTGTATTCTGTTGCAATTACTTGTGTTTTTCTCTATATGATATGTTCTCGAATCACACGAGTGGTTTTAAGTGCCTGGTTTTCTTTTTCATGCATTCAGTCGATTCATTAGCTGCTTTGATTCTGCAGGAATTGCCGTTGTTCATACATGTCCCTGGCTAAGGAAGTGCTATTTACTTGTGGAAGATGAACGTGATTAGGAATGCAAATGTGCCATTTGCATAATTCCATCCAACCCGGTATTTCAATTAATATTCTTTCTCACCAATTTCATGATTCATTCTGTCTGGAGTGTGTTGAGCTTCGTATTTTCGACTCTGGCTACTGCTTTTGGAGCTCTGAGCTTACTGGCAGCGCTTGGGAATGGATGCATGTCGATAAGCTCCGCGACTTAGGGCGCGGTATATTGGATCAGTGCACTTCATTTATCTTGAGCTCTTCGGTGAATGTTTCATCTGCTGCAAAGGTGGCCAGATCAAATAAGTAGCTCACAACGGATTCAACTTAATTCTTATCTGCTGATTTTGGATATTACCCAAGGGTTGGGCCAACCCCAGACATAAGAGATTCAATTTTGACAGTCATTGTACCATTTGTGTTTTAAGATCTCTTGTACAATATGGGATATGAATTTTCCGAAATGACCTTGGGGATGAATTGGGGTACTCTTATCGGTGTTGTGACTGAAAGCAGTGGTACACAGGATTTCTTGCTACCTATATATTGCCCAGGTTTTGTGCTTGCAATGCTAGTACATCTGTCCGCATATGTAGAGCTCGTGTATGACCTATTTAGAAAGAGAAAATAACACCTGGTGGATGGCTGAATACTCAATTCATCTAGTTTGGGCATAAATATTGAAGCATATGTAATATCTCCTCTCCTGCCTCCTGGTGGTATCGAAGCATCCCTTAGTATGACGTGCAAACTTCACCTCTAGAATGTCTTCGCTGTACGATGCTATCTTTATTGTCCTGTGAGTTGTTTTCGACACTAATTTTAGTCGACTCTAATCTTGACATCTCTCCAATGCATATCATCAAAGATCTACTAAGTTCATGTTCTGTCATTTTTTGAGTGCTAATCGTCGATCTTTCCTTGGAATTAGTGAGATGGATGAATGCAGCCTGCTTCCAGTGGGGAGACCGAGCTGCGAGGCGCATTTGTCGGCTTGTAAGAATTTGAGTTGATCTGTGGTTGGGCATGTCCCTCGTGGTGCTGATTACATGGGGAAGGTTGTTTTACTGTAGGGTGTTTCTTCAACAATCAAGAACACAGAAAGCTCGGGGTGTTATATCGCGTGGCACGTCGGCTCCATGTATATCCCTATCCTAGGACTTACTCAGCGCAGGACATGATCTGCTCAACCTGTCCGCTCAACCTGTGCGAAGTGTTTAAAGCGATGCATGCATTGGACGATGATTTCCTGTGTTTTTTCACTTTCCTGAGCATGTATGTGGATCAGGTGTGTTTTCATTTGCATGAATTCCAGAGTTCATGTCCAATATGCAGTTCTCAGAAGATCAATTTTGCTCAAAGAGATGGCCCTCGACGCACTTAAGAGTTCCTTTCTTCTGGTTGATATGAATACATATCAGAGTTCCTAGTTCATATTTTAGGCGACTGACTATTGTCGGATACACAAAAAAGTAACCCTGGATCTTGTCAGTTTTGTCTACATAGATAATAAAAGTTAGATACTATCTGATAATATATGCGTTAATGGGAAAACATTAGAATTCTAAGAGAATATTTTACTAGGAAACTCGAAAGTGATTGTGCCGTGGAGCCTTTCAGTCGTGTAGAGATAACGAGGAATTTCAGGTGTTAGAACCGAACCGAAAAATCAAACCATAACCAAATTGAATCGAACCAAAATTTCTTGCATTTTTAGTTTGATCTCGGTTCAGATAATGAAAAATAACTGTTTTTTTTTTATTCCGGTTAAGATAGTTTCGGTTTAGTTCGGTTAACCAATCCAAATTGAAAATCATTCATCTTCTTCATGTTACAATTTACACAATCTCTCTCCTTTTTCACTAAATCTCTTCTTAATATTACAAAAAAGAAAACCAAACCGAGCCTAATTGAATCGAACCAGGTTTTCAGTTTGGGTTATACTTGATTAGGGTCGTGGTTCGATTCAAAGCTAATACACACCTAACGGTTCGGTTCGGTTTAACCGACAGAATCAAACCGTTGACACCCCAGATTACAAGTACAAAACATAATTGTGTTCATTCCATTTTATTCTTTTCTCACGTCGTCGATATCCCAATATCGCGAGCACATTTAAGAAAACATAGGAAATCACCCTGATCGCAAGAAGCATCTGAGAAAAATCCCAGCAAACCGATTCGAAATTCACCGTATTTCGTCAAAATTAATTTCTCGGGTCTCTTCATAAGACAAGTAATTCTAAATCTCTAAATCTCAACTCTAGATGGCCTTCTTTTTTCTGTAATAAATTCGACTGACGAGGGAAAAAATTACCAAAACAGTCTTAACGAATTACCATCGGTTTTTCCCGACTTTTTTTGAAGGAAATTCGAAATCAATATGTGAAAATCGCCTGAGGAAAAAGGTTGGGGGGAAAACGCCAAAGAAGAGGGGAACTTTAGTCTTAATGAGGAATCTAGATGGGTTATAGCTTTAGGTTAGCTTGCTACCATCCCTTCCTTTGGAATAGACTAATGATAAACGTGACTTTGTGATCGCGAGTGCGGTACTACCCAAATTTTTATTAAAGTCTTTTTTGTCCTAAGCAGCCACATTAGACAATGACCTTATTTTTAAGATTCAAAGCACATCATTTTGTCGTATCCCCAGTAGAATAAGTCCAAAGACCACGACTTCTCCAAATTGAAAAAACGAAAGTTTTTTAGGAGGAATTCGAATCCCACTCAAGTGCACAAATCGATGAAACCAAACCCCAATAATTCGAATAGGGAAAAAAGCCAAAGCAAAGCGAAAGCCAAAAAGGGTTGCGTCCGTTTCACGAAAGACGGGTCATCTAGAGAACGTTTCTCCTAGCGACGATCGCTCGTATCCCTCACGGAAACGAACGGCGGCATCCGCGATGGGCAGTGAAAACGTTTCCACTGACTAATTATTGAATTTTTCGCGAAACGGACAAGGCTTTCGTGTTCTTGCCGGGCATGCTTAGCTGTCCCTACAACTTATGATGCCCCCACACGAAACAATGTGAAAACGAAAAGGCAAATGAAATTCTCGTTTGTTTGCTTGCTTGCTCGCTCTTTCTTCCTCCTTCGGCCACGATTCAAAGTGGTCCCTCCCCTCGTACATTAGGATACAGACAAAGTCGCCAACCACTCGTGAACGGGGGGGTTTTCCCCCATCGTCGCCCAAACAAAAAGCAGCGAAGCCCAAGCTTTTCCTCCTCATTTCCCCCCGCTTGGCAATTTACACCCCGAAAAGCTCCAAACAGCCCACGGTACCAGACCCAATCAGGGAAGTGACAAAGGGGGATTCGTCAAATCAATCAACTCTCCCCCCGCAAAGATTGCGATACCCCATGATTAGGACTCGTGTCCAATCATTCTGTTCTGTGGGTTTCTCTTTTGCCCCCTGATTCTTGGTTTTTTGCAAAGGGGGCATCATCGATTGGGATGGTCGGCCACGCCACGAAGAAGCCAAGAAAGTCTTTGGGGGAAGCCATTCTCTGTATCGGGTTTTGCTCCCGTGTGGGGTGGCCTTCTTGGAGTGGAATGATGATGAGATTTTTTCGTAAATTTTTCTCCTCTCTCTTTTGGAGCTTGATATGGGGGGGGGGGAGGAGTCAAGAATGGGATTTCAGACGTGTCCCTTTCACTTTCGGAAGGATTGGTTATAATAGCTCGAGGTTCGAACTTGCACCAGTGTGCGTGGAGATTAGTGTTCAAGTGTTTTTACACACGACATCTTCGATCCTTGAACGCTAGTGACACCCACATAGAACCACTTTTATTTGTAGGGAAATCTTTGACTTTATCAAATAAGGAAAAGAAAAAAAATTTGGCATTGCCTTCCGTTATGTTCATCCTGATCAAGTGATCAAGTTTTGAACTTGATTCTCATCATTTGTCTCTCATAATCCTCAAGCCGGAGAGGTAGAAATATCCTCAATCTAATGAAATCAGAGGAAACAAAATGGGTGAAAACACAGATCTTTTTTCTGGCTTTATCATTGCTGGCATCAATCTTTAACGGGGACAGTGTCACGAAATGTCTGATAAATTCCTAGTCTCATCTCAGTCCCCAAGAAAAAGGACCCACCATATTGTGTACTATCATAATGAACTTGCACTCTTCCTGTGCTGCTTCTTATCACCCAACACAAGTGATTGAACCTCTTAATTTGAGCAAAAACACACACCAATTTCCTTAAATCGTGTTTAAGAGTCCCTCTGTTTTGTACCCTTTTCATGAAACTTGGGAGATTTTGGTAATGTGTTTGGAAGGAGACGGTCTTCCAAATGCAAGCAAACTTTTTGAGTCCAAGAACCAATACAATCCCAAGACTGTTGTGCAAGTATAGAGAATCACAGTGAGAGACATTTGAGAGGCAGAAGAAGAAAAAAAGATATCTTTTCATTTCTAGGTCAAAGTATAACATACACCTCCACAGCACGGTGGAATCAAAGTAATCTGAGATTTTTTTTCTGAATCAGTGATTACAATGACAACATACTCCTTTCACTCAGGAACAGAATCATGACCAGCCAAATGTGGTACCTCCGGCTATACCGCCCAGCCAATCGCGGCCCGAACCGAACCTAACCGAGATGATTCGCACGTTCGATGCCCAAAGATGATTCCCAAGCAATGAGTTCTGAAGTTTCCAACACGATCCATTTGAGCCATCCCAATATTGTATACATCAGTGTCAGCTTCTTGCGAGATCGGAAACAGAGGAGACCGATCTCCTCCATCGCAACAGAATCCTCAAACCGCCACGAGAAAATGGTAAAAAACAGGGAAATTAGAAAAAAGGGTAAGTAATATTGCACAACCCCTATAACTACACACCTTTTCGCTGCAAAAGAATAACCAGAGTCTTGAAATGTCAAAGCTGCTGTGATGTATTTTTCGCCGCCAGGCAAAGAAGAGGCCGTATTAACAGTCAGGATGGACAAACTCGTTCACCTCCTCCATGAGCCGATAGAAATGGTCATTGTTCGGCAAGAAGTAGAAGCCAATCGTCGCCTCCTTCAGGTGCAGCAATTTCACCTCATGGCCATGGTTCCTGAGCCCTTCTACGTAGGCCAATTGCCAGTCCTGGAGGAGATCCAAGCCCGCCACGACCACGAGGCTCTTCGGAAACTTGAGCCCCTCAAGGCTCCTGCCCCGTGGGCCGAAGGGGTTGCACGCCGGGTGGTCTCTATCTTCCCCTTCCGGGAGGAAAGCTCGCCAGTACCAATCGCGGTCGGGAATCCTGACAAAGTACCTACCGTCCAATCTCATCTCCGATTCCGTTCTCTCTTGCCCGCCAAACAAAGCATGGAGGAGGATATTACCCAAAACCTCGACTCCCTCATCGGCCGCCTTCACAGCTACATGGTGCACGATATTGCCGCCCGAGCTATCTCCGGCCAAGTACACATAGACCTTTGAGTCCTTCCCGCTCTGGAGCCACGGTCTCGACTTCACCCACTTGAGGGCGGCCCACCCGTCATCGTAGGCACACGGGTACCGATATTCGGGCGACCGTCGGTAATTTACAGAGACGACCGCAACCTTGCAGATGTTCACAAACCGCCGGCACAGCGTATCGTAAATGGCGGTGCTCGCGGTGGAATGAGTGAAGCTCCCACCATGGAAAAAGATGATGACCGGGACGACCTCGGTGGTGCTCAAGGGCTTCTCGAGGTCAATGATCCCCCAGCGGGCCTGGTTTTCGGGGGCGGCCAAATAGACCCGGTTGAGGAGCCCGGTCGACCGATCCACATGATCGAAGGAGAAGACCCCATTGACTGGTATGGTGTTCGCGGGGACCTTCCGGTCAAGGAAATCGTCCAATTCGCGGTTGAAGGTCCCGTCGGGGTGGCGGAGGAGATTGTATACTACCTTGAAGTTGGAGATCAGGACATAAGTGTTGAGAGGGACGACACTCTGCGGATTTTACAGGAGAGATCACAATTCAGATTCATGTGAATTGATCTTAACACGATCCTCCAAAGATTACAAATTTCTGCATATTTTCCAAGTGACACAACACCAAAACGCAGACAGAGATGTTTCGTAGTCAATCGCCATTTGTCAGCTATATAACCCCTGAAGTAGAAGACAGAGCTGAAAGGGGGAATGTGAAAAGAGAGGAGTACAGAAAGGACAAAACAAAAGAAATAAGAAGAAGAAGAGGAGGCCAGGCTCAAATGCAACGACATCTCACGACACATTCCTCCAATCGAAATCGAATTCCAAGCCTAAAAATTCCCCCACAAGAAGAAGGAAAAAAAACAGGCACACCCCAACTTGAATCCACGCACCAAAGACTCGAAATTTCGGAAACCCCAACAAAAGTTACTTCCAAATTAACATCCAATTGATGAAATTAGCAGATACAGGCTCATGATCAAACAACTGAATCGGCACACGCGAACAAAGATAAAATGCTCCGCTTCTGTCGCCGAGAAGGGGAAAAAATTCATCAGATAGAAAGAAGAAGGCACGTGAAGAAGGCACACGAAGAACACGAGAGCGACCGCCGAAGGGGATCGGGGTTGCACAATCGTGGGGGGCCCAGAACGGAAACGGAAGAATTTGAAGCGGAGGAGCAAACCTTAGATTCGTTGACGTTGACTTCGTCACTACCGGCCATGGCGGCTCCCGGCGGTCGCCCCCTCCCCCCCAACCCCACCCCACCCCACCCCCAGAGGAAACGAAGAAGGATAGAGAGAGAGAGAGAGAAGGAAGAGAGGACGCGAGGGAGGAGGGGGCGGGCGGAGAATTCGAAATCTCAGAGCAGAACAGCGAGAGCCACCATGGCACCGACCCCTTCTTCGGCGACAACCTCAAAAACCAACAGAAGCCCAGAACACAGCCACAGCCACTGCCCCTGACCCTCTCTCTCTCGCTCTCTAACTCTCTTCAAGACTGTCGTGCTCCGAGCGAAGCGAGGAGTGTATGTAGGTGAACACGTTCAGGGAGCAAACGGAGGGGAAGAAGAGGAAGAGGGAGGGAGGCGGGGGGTGGGTGATTGCTCAGGGAGATCGACACACACACAGCGAGAGAGGAGGGAAGAGAGCAGGAGAGATTAAAAACAGGGGAGAAGAGAAAGTACAGAGAAGAGAGAGAAAGAAGAGAGAGGGAGAGAGGGAGAGAGAGAGAAAGGATGAACGGAGACGAAAGAGACGACAAAGAGGGGCGGCCAAATTAAATTTCCTTCGCAATTTCCCATTTTCCCCCAATTTTCTCCTCCTGTTTTTTTTTTTTTTAAAAGAGTAGCAATTTCGCTCGTTTGATTTTACTATAGCTTGTGAATTTTTCTTTTCTTTTCTTTTGCCCCCCCCCCCCCTCCCTTTGCACATAACTTTACGGGGACAATGACACGAGCGATCCGTTAACTTTGACCTGATATGTAGCGTGGCCCCTAATCCTTTAATTTGTTCGATATAATCTTTAGACTTTCGGTACATGCTCAATGCAGTCCCTGAAATATATGAAAATGTTCAGTATAGTCCTTCCGTTAAGTTAATATCATGGACAACATTGAATATTTTTCATATAATCTAGCGGCTAAATTGAACATATACAAAAAGCTCGGGGATTATATTAAACAAATTAAAAGTCCAGTGACCACATTACACGTCGGGCTAAAGTTCAGGGACCACGTTAAATAAATTAAAAGTTCATGGACCGCATTACGTTGATGCCAGTAAAGGAGTGCTAAGATGCCAATCAAGAAAAACGAAGACAAGGTTTTTGTGGCAAGTATGTTATCCTACACACAAGCGGCTCTCCAAGCCTCTATATAAAATGGACTGCCTTTTAGCCACCAAGCCCTTCTTCGAATTTTGATTAGCACCTTAGAACTGCTTTATAATAGCAGGCAAGTGCAGAGCATATTACCAGGACTAATCCAAGGTTAAAGAGATCATTTGTGTCATTTTCCTTAATTGTACTAGTTTACTAGGGGTAACGATGAATTGCTCGTTCAAATCACTCCTGTTTTATTAGTATTTATATCTAAATAATGTCTATAGATCTTACATTGTATCCTTTAAGAAGAAAAGAAAACATATATCGTATCCATGTCTTAATTTATTACTTAAAAGGTAGAAATGTCAGATTGAGTTCTTCAGATCGAGTGAAGTGAGTACATATACGACGTCCAAGGTGAAACTATAGTATATGTTTGTACGAGCAATACTTTCGATTGAACTGTTTGGTATTTCCAGAAACGGTAATTTGTCTTCTTGCATAATAAATAGTATATATAACTTCAATGAAAATCAAAATGCATCTAACGTATTGGGACTCGAGGGGACAGGAGGTATATATGTATAGATATGTAATTACATTTTTTTTTAAAAGAATTTTCATGCTTTCGAAATCACAGAGTAGCATTCCAAAATTTTTAACACAAAGTACAATTTCAAGCACTGATTTTTCAATCTCCAAAATCAAAGCAATCGACAGTTAATTTATAGGGCTAATATCACATAAAATCATAAATTGATGTATTTGTGATAAATTTACCCAAACTAATTTTTTAACCACTAAAAACCCCAAACTGATACATTTGTGACAAATTTACCCTCCGTTAAATTGGATCAATACTACAAAAAATCACAAACTAGTATATTTATGACAAACGGAGGGTAACACCCCAAATTGGTACACCCGTGAATTGTCACGCGTCATTCAACTCAGAAAGTTGACTAAAAAATTAAACGGAAATTAACGGAAGGTAAAATTGTCACAGATATACCGATCTGAGATTTTTTGTAATCAAAAAATTAGTTCGGGGTAAATTTGTCATGGATGTACCAGTTTGAGGTTATTCGTGGTATTAACCATAATTTATAACGAGTCCCCCCTAAATACTCACAACACACCCTTTTTTTTCTGTCATTATTATTTTTCATTCATGCTTTTTCCTGTTTAATATGAACCCTTTTGTTTTTCTTTATTTTCCTCTCTTTGTTTTTTTTGCCCTTTTGTTTCACTTTTATGATGTGAGTCGGTACCAACTAGACCAACATTTGTATTTTGCTTCGAGCATAAGACAACAACTACACCAAATGTGTTTCCCGAAAAAAGAAAAGAAGGCAACACTGTGTTTGGAATTCTTGGGGTCCTCCCCTCCCTAGGTCATTCTTTTTCGAACGATGTACTTTTGTTGGCTTGTGGATAAAATATTCCGCCCCCCGACCAATTCGTACGTTGTCTTTGCCCGTGGCATGAAATGGAAGTCGAGAACAAGATTTCCGAGGAGCTTAGAGCATTGTATCCTATGCCTTTGCAGATTTAACGGTGGTTGTGCCAATGTTCGAGTTGTATTTTGGCATACGTTATGGCCTACTCGAGACCAGCGAACATCGAATCTCTCGATGCATTTTTCGATGGTTATGAATAACATTGTACACTTCGTGATGGTTGTGCCCAATGCTCTAGTCCGTTTGGCTTATGTCGTGGCCACTTTGAGACGGGCGAAAGGAACTTTCCATCTTGTTGGATAATGGATTTTCTTTCTTTTCAATTTTTATATGTAAGTTAGACACACAGTCGACTAGTTTTACTTAAATGATTATGCCAATGTTCTAGTCACGTAGTGGCTTTTACTATGACCTATTTGAGGCAAGGAGGAAATCTCCATCACATCGATCCCAGTTTGTTTTGCTCTTACGCTCTATGTTAGATCGATTAACTAGCATTTCTCGTACACGGAACATTTTCACATTGATTATGCCAATGCGCTAGCACATAACACGACCTATTTGACATGGGTACGAGGAAACTTGTATCACATCGATCGTGATGTTGTTCTTACTCTTGCACACTAATCGAAATGATTGATTTGTTTTCAAGTTTACGATAATTTGCCTTATGCTCATATTCTATTATGATGGCTCCCGAGGACAACTATAATATAAACAAGGTCGCGTTACTATAACATAATTTCCCCAAAATGATCACAAAACAAAGGGAAAAATGACATACCTACTTATTAAAAAAAGGGCACAAGCCATAAAAAAATCATAAATTATGCTTACTGCGACATATTTATTCTAAAACGTTTTTCTGTAACGCAAAAAATCCCAAATTTATATCCGTGCGATACATTTACCTATCTTCAAAGTTCAGTCAATGAGAACCATTAAAAATCTATTTACATGGACTCTAGAAAGCAAACGATGCCCAGTGAAATAAAAAAAAAACGATGTTATTTTGGCTGAAAATCATCCGACGAAGCCTTAACTGACGAGGATAAATGTGACGCACGGGTATAAGATTGGGGTTTTTATATCACAAGAAAAAGTTTAGGGCAAACGTGTCACAGTGGACACTGGAGTTTTTGACATCCAAAAAAAAAATAATTTCATGACCGATGCGTTATGGTCGGCATAGTTCCGGAGTTTTTATATAACTTTTTCCCCTTTAAAAAACGCCGTATCTTTATCTTTTCCCCAATATTTCAATATGAGGATGAAATCGCGAGGCAACCACCCAAGTCAAACGAAGACCAGAGAAATCAGGAAGGAAAATCATAAAAGTAAATAATAAAAAGTACAAATAATTATTATCGTCCGAAAAAAAACAAACGAAAAAGGTTGGGTCGAGAGGGGGGGGGGAGGGGGGAGAGGAATTCAATACAGCCTTCCTGCGTGCGGCCGACGCCAAGGCACGTGGCGACAAACGGCTCCCGTCCCCCGCCCCCGCACCCGCATTCCCGGAAATGCCCCCGGCCCCCGCCTCGAATCACGACCGGGCCCCCCGTGCGAGGCACGTGTCCCTATTTTGTCGTCTAGCGCCGAGCGCCGCGCGTGGCGGCGGGCGCGTGCCCGTTTTTCCCCCACTCCTTCCCTTGTCCAGAAAAGTCTTCCTTTTCGGTGTTCCTTTTTTTTGTTTTCTCGGTTCCCGCTCGCTTTCCTCGTGATTTTTGTCGTATCGGAGCGGTGCGGGTCGCTGCGGCTGCGACCGTCGCGGTCGGTGGGTGGGGGCCGCCAGCGGGACACGTGGCGGCGCGCGGCTGCACCGATCGGTCCGGTGGGGCGGGGCCCAGCCGACGGGGGACCACCGTTCGGCGATGATCCGAGAAAGACTCGCCCGGCGGGGCCCCGCGGTGGCGCCACGTGGGAGCCCCCCGGGCTTCGCATTTATTGCGGGGCGCGCTTCTGGTTTTTTCTCCCGTTAGATTTTCTTTTCACCCCCTTGGCGTGGGACCCACTCACTGCGGCTCCGCCGTTGGATTTTTTTTCTATGTTTTTGCTTTTATTTGAGTTAATACCACGAAAAAATTTAAACTCCGTAACAATTTTACCCCAAATTAATATTCGCGATGAGCTTAACTTCAAGTTAATTCTTTTGAAATATTTCGTGTATCTAATCTTGCTTCGATTGAACTCTCCGTGCCTACGAAACTGGTCCCGATCTACTCCATGCGCGGTTTACCACGAATAAATCTGCACGATGATCGGCGCATGTGACTCTTCAACGATGACAAGATGCCAATTAGTATTTGGGGTGGTGATTTGCTCTTGGCATAAAAGCCTATCTTTTGAGATGCACTTGACATGAGCTAATCAGGGGTGAGCAATTGAATCTGGTTCGATTCAGAAATGGACCGAATCGGCCTGTACCTTTCGGTTTAAGGCCAATTCTAAGGAGAATCGGTTCCGTTTCCGGTTCCTTGAACCTAGAACC